ATTTCAGTAGTGTATGTGAAAGCTTTTCAGTAGCATGTATGAAAGCTTTTCAGTAGCGTGTATGAAAGCTTTTCAGTAGTGTATATGAAAGCTTTTCAGTGGCGTGTATAAAAGCTTTTCACTAGTGTATATGAAAGCTTTTCAGTAGCATGTATTAAAGCTTTTAGTGTATGTGAAAGCTTTTCACTAGTGTATATGAAAGCTTNCACTAGTGTATATGAAAGCTTTTCAGTAGCATGTATTAAAGCTTTTAGTGTATGTGAAAGCTTTTCACTAGTGTATATGAAAGCTTTTCAGTAGCGTGTATAAAAGCTTTTCACTAGTGTATATGAAAGCTTTTCAGTAGCGTGTATAAAAGCTTTTCACTAGTGTATATGAAAGCTTTTCAGTAGCATGTATTAAAGCTTTTCAGTAGTGTATATGAAAGCTTTTCAGTAGTGTGTATGAAAGCTTTTCAGTAGTATGTATGAAAGCTTTTAAGTAGTGTGTATGAAAGCTTTTCAGTAGTGTATATGAAAGCTTTTCACTAGTGTATATGAAAGCTTTTCAGTAGCGTGTATGAAAGCTTTTCAGTAGTGTGTATGAAAGCTTTTCAGTAGCGTGTATGAAAGCTATAAGATATAAATGTTTTCACTAGTTTATGTGAGAGCTTTTCACTAGTGTTTATGCATGTTTTTTTAATATATTATATGGAACAGTTAAATTTAATATGTGTATATGGAAGCTAATTTTGATTTATGTCTCTGGTGGCACCCCATAGTTTGCATTCTTCTTTGCGTGCAGGTGGTGATTTCAAATTCCTATTTACCTCTTGTTTACATTTTTTGTTAAAATTTTCCTCAGGTTGGTGCATTTCAAATTATATCCGCCTCCAGGAAGTCATTTGGCAAACATTTACCTTCTGGTAAAATGTTCTATTGTCGTTTTTCCCACCTTGTAGTCATATTGTATTTTTTTTTTTTTTTAAACTATGTTTATTTTTCTTTAAAGGTTTTATTTGAAGATAAGGCAATTATAACAAAAGTAATGGAGAAACAAAAGGAAAAAGACACCAGTCAAAATGAATGGGAAGAAGACAATGCTTATTTAATCCCCCCTATTATTACATAATGTTATCCCAATATCTATAACAATACCTAAGATTACTTTACTTTGTATTATAGTGTTCATTTTAGAATAAAAATGAACACAATGGTTTCCATCTATATTTGCCTCCTGGTGGTCATTTTGAATTCAAATGTGCATACCTCGGTTCACACTGAATTCACATTTGCCCCATGGTGGTTATTTTAAATTCCGATTTGACTACTAGTTATAATTTTAAATTCACATTTGCATTTTCTTGGTAACTTTAAATTCACATTTGCGTTTTGGTAGTCTTTTTACACGGTCGCCTCTAGGTGATGTTTTTAAATTCACATTTGCATCCTGGTGGTCATGTCAAATTGAAATCATGTTGTATTTACATTTGCCCCATGGAAGTCATTTTAAATTGACATTAGATAACTTTGAAATCACGTCTGCCTCCTGCCATTCATATTTGCCTCCTGGTAGTAACTTTAAATTCACATTTGCCTTCTTCCGATCATTGAGAATTCACATTTACCTATCTAGGATCACACTAAATTCCCATTTGCCCTATAGTTGTTAATTTATATTGATATCTGTCTCCATGTTTTCATTTTAAATTCATTTGTGGCACCTAGTGGTCTTTTTAAATTCACATTTGCCTCCTATTTATCATGTTGAATCCACATTTGACTACCTTGGATCAGATTGAATTCAAATTTCCCCGATGGAAGTAATTTCAATTTGGCATTAGATCAATGAATTCTCATTTACCTCTTGATGTTTATTTTAAAATCACATTTGCCTACTGGTATCCATTTCAAATTGACATTTCCCTCCTGTAGAATCACATAAGATCACTTAGAGTTCACACAATTTATTGAATTCACAATTACCTCTCACAGAGGCAAATGTGAACACACAACAAGCAGTAATCTGCTGATTAGTCATTTGAGTAGCAATCCTGCTGCTTGTGCTTGTTTAAAAATCATTGAAACTTTGATTAGCTGGAAAATAGCTGTTTTTTTAAATTGCATTATTCATTCACTTTGGTAGTTTTATTTATACGTCAAATGCTTAAGAAGTTTTGAGTGGAATAAAATGTGGTGACCTTGTGAAACATGTTATCAACAATTCGATAAACAAAAAGGAATTTTGTTTAATGAGGGAAAAACACAAACAAACTATGAATAAAAATATGCGGGAAAACTGGCTGGTAGTGAGACTAATTGGTGAAGTCAAAGCAGAAAATAAACCATTCATCTCATTCAGCTTTGTGTTTGCTGAGGGTGGGTTGCTACAGTAAGCAAGAGCTGTTGCCATGTGGGGGCTGGATCTGTGTTTTAAAAATGTGCATGTAGGTGGAAAGTGTCATAATAAAATGCAGGTGAACGCCACAAGGAAGCAGATTAGCTTCCAGAGCAACGGGTGGTTACTCTATGTCAGCGAGTGAATTTATTTCTGACACCAACACCTGTTCAAATGAAGTTTGAGTCTTACTACTTTTGAATTAATTAGATGACGTTATGTTTGGAAAGATCTACGAGAGAAAATGTGTGTAAGAATGGGGAAACATTTTTTTTTCATATATGGAGCCAAATTATGAAGAACGTAAAAAAAAGAAAAAAAAAGTTATGTTTTCTAACAGAGATATTACTGCTGTTAGCTACCTTTGTTTCCACAGATGCTGTTCCTAGAAAGGACTTCTTAATAGTAACTCCTAGAAACTGACTTCAGACCAAGGAGACATGCATGCTCTGGATAAAAGATGCTGGATAGACGAATCAATTAAAAATTCTGGACGCCCTAGGATGGCTATGTTTGAACAATTAATGTATGATGAATTGCACTTGACTGTATTGGCTGTATAACTGGATTACACATGAATGAATTCCATTAAAGTCTAAGTTAAATGTGGACCATATTAGATTCAATTGGAGAGAACTGAATGAATTTTAATATCTGAAAGTAAATTTATTTCTCTAATTCAATGCAGAAAGGGAAGCTCATACATAGATGGTAAGTTTAAGGTTTGGTTTTATGGTGATTTTGCTAATGTTAATGTTCTTATACCTAAAGAAAACCCAACATTCTGTCTTCTCTGATAAATAGAATATTTTCAAACTAACTTTATTTTTTCTTGTGTTTTTATATGGTGAGACGCAACGTTCTTAGCATCAGGTTTTTAACAATATCGTTCCAGAAGGTTTCAGTCACTATATTTGACTCTGCACATTTCCCACTGATTCCACAAGGAAGATAAAAGGCACATAAAATTTCTATGCTTTATTTTAAGATTTTATTGAACCTTATTTTTGTCTTTCATTAAGAGCTGCACAACAGATCATATCACAATTGTTTTTTATGGGACTGCTTGAATGAAGTATTTGCTAAGTGCCATTTATTACATTTCTGCTTTTTGTTAAACTTGGCCAATTACATGCACTTCTTCTGTATTTTTTTTCCAATTGTAGATATAAGTGATGAAGTGAAAAATATGGGTTATTGCAAAACCACAATTACTTAATCATTTTTATTTAGCAAAAGAAAGTCACTCACAAACAGTACGTAGAGAAATACAATTAGTTTACACTTTATGAGCTTAAACAAACTTTTAATCTTAAACTTTTAAGATTAAAGTACATCAAAAGTAAAT